AAGTTACGCTAAATGGTTATTACAGACACACAAAGTAATCTTAAAGCCAGTGCAGTGTAGAACAGTACTACAATCATAATAACTGTCTATAAGATTAAATATATATACATTTTTTAAAAGCCAAAAACATGGAAGTGGAATACATTAGTGATTAAATATAAGATTATATAGTCTATAGCAGCTTTTTTAAAATATTCAACTACTCTATTTATCTAGCAGCAACATTGTCTAATGACTGTTAGCTTGTATTTTCCATCAGTAGGTGGTTTATTCCAATATTTCATACAGACTGTAGGTATCTCTAATCATCACATTAGCAAGAACCAAGTTCCTACTTAAAGCCTTACTGACATTGGTAAAAGTAGTTACAATACTGCAACTTCAGTTTAAATAAATCACATGTTAATTGTCTCCTTCATATTAGTACAAAACAGACTGCATACTTCATGAATATGTTTTTTCTTCCATTACAGACTATAAATGCATGGAAATTTCCAGGAGGTCTGTCTAATCCAGGTGAAGACATTGGTAAGTCATAGGATAACAGGTCAGACGTCAACAGAATTATAAAGACATTAACAATACTAAAATACATCGTGACCCACATCACTCCTATGACTAATCACTTCTTTGAATTAATGTTGAATAGATGAAGTGACATGATCCTGTGACCTTAATGGTAACAGGGTAACATTACATTCAAGGCAGAGCAGCTTTGTATTTATAACATTTATGCTTTCCCACAATTTCTCTTAAACAAGTGCTTGAAACCAGCTTGGTTTTTTTCTAGGCTTGTTGAATATGCTGTAACATGAGCCAAAAGTGCAGAGGTTTAAGGTAATCAGTGTATGTAATTCGTGTATAACCCAAATAAAACTGAAATGGCGAGCTCAGCCCACACTGGAGTCCAGGGCAGTGAGCTCAATGATGTACTGAGCAAAAATTTCCAACTCTCCATTTTTATGTGCAAAAATAAATACACTTGTTTCCTTCCACCCTTGTCCATTTGATTTGTTTAGACTAAGAGCTCTTGGGCACAGGACCAGCATCAAGTGCAGCCTGAGTCTTGTGGGCACCTACTTTCAACCAAAAACGTAAGGCACTTCTGTATTAAAAAACAATGCTGATTTGAGGACAGCCATAATTTTTACCCAGTGTAGCACAGCTGATGATGAATACTGCTGAAGTTATGTTCAAAGGTGAATCAACAAGGGTGTTTACTGAAGAGACAGAAAATTGTGCTTTTTCTTCTCCTATCTCACCCCTTAAAGTTACAATCCATAGACTGGTTAATTCTTAAGTTATATTGCAGTTAGTAGGTAGGACTTGGTTTAAAAAGTTGCATTTGCTCACATTAATTTAGCCCACAGCAGTATTTGGATATGAATAGATTATTCTGATAAATAATGCTGAACTCAGAAATATTGCTGAGAGCAACGCAGCAGCTCTGGCAAACTGGGTATCAAGCCCAAGTTTCCTGAATCTATTTCACAGAAATATCTCTATATTCTCTTAACAGTCTTCCTGCAACAATGTGTGGAGGGCTTGTATTCCAGTTCATTATTTCAATACAAGGAGAAATTTTCTAGTTACTGGGATATGGTTGAGTTGTAGTTTTTGTCACGGTTCATGTTTTAACTAAGTCTTTTTGTCAAACACAGTGACAGAAATCAAAATTATTTGCTTGACAGTGCAAATACATGTAATGAAGTGAAATGGATTCATGTTTTGAAAAGAATCCCCAACTCTGGGGAAGCTCACTTTTAGTGACAGAGAACAGATGTAGGCCAGGAGAAACCAGAGGGATTTTTGTAGTAAAGGAAAAAATGAGCAGCGCTGGCTACAGCTTCCACAGGGGAATACTGTCACTGAGCAAGCCAGTGGCCGTCCCTGAAATAACAGGTGAGACTATGGCTGGAGACTGGATGTAGGTATTGAGAAAGACCTGGGAGGAAACAAGTATCTTACAGCTTCCCCCCCTGCCACTGCTAAACTGGATAATAATAAAAGTCATGATTCTCTGCATCACATCTTAATAGTTCAACAAGATATAAATTAGTGAAGCATAAAATATAGTAGAGCTTAATTTTACTTTTTTATCCTTACATCAAACATTCTAAACTCACAGTCATTCAAGGGACTAAATTTAAAATTACAATTACAGATTACAATTACAATTGCAATGCTTGAAGATCCTGTGATTATATGAAGTGACAAAATATATGGCTGCCTACTTGAATGAGTACAAACTGACTTGCACAAGTAATTTGAAGAGTTCCATAATGCAAATTAAGCAAAAAGTGCACACAATTTTGTATTTTAATATTTCTGAAGCTCAAGCCCTAGTGTTTCTTCTAGTTCAACTGTCATATACTTAAATATATATATATATACACATTTAAATAAAAGGAGAACAGAAAAAGGCACTTTATCTAAAAGCAAACCTCAAAGCTTAAATTAAATTTCTAATTATTTCATTTTTCTTACCATATCTTGCCTCAGAATTCCTTATGATCTCAGTCGTTCACCTTCTTTGACCACTTTTGTGTAATACAGCCCTTTGCCTGATAATAAAACCACTTGCCACAGGGAGTGGCATAACCACTATTTTAAACCAGGGGACTGCAGGGGCCTCTCTGGGCAACATAAAATGCAGTCTCTCCATGGGTCAGTAACGGTAAATTAGTATCTTCTCCCATGTACTTTTCCTCATATGCAGCAGCCTTCTAACTAATTAATACTGCAGTAAAGTCACAATCATCTGTGCTCTGCAGACAGCATGTACTAGTGGGTCTCCAGTCCCACCATGTACTTGGTGTAAACTTTACACAGATCGTTCCACTACAAGATGAAATCTGAGCTGAGGCAGAAGTATGTGCAGAATCAGGGCCATTAATATACAGTTGTTTGGCCTCTGCTGGATAAATCATTTCGTTTATATATTGCTAGCCGCTGCAAGTCCTGAAATTATTTTCAGTATTTAAAATTACCCCTAAAATGTCTGTTTTGTTCACCTCTGACATGTCAAGATACAGGGTTCGGTAGGAAGGTGAATCTCTGTAAGGTCTTGTAAAATGTATTTTGCTTTTGGAAGTAAGCCAACACACTTATTTCTTACTGCAAATGAACTAACTGAAGCAGGTAACATTGCAAAACAGCTATATGAATTTACCACTCAAAGATGACACAGCTATGAGTTTACCTAATTTGAAAAAAACCTAGTATTTTACCTGCCAGTAGCTATCCCCAGCAAGGAGGATTTAACTGGGCTACAGTGTAACTAAAAAATTTTGAGAAATAAGTGGAATGTCAAAAATCTCATTTGGGCTCCTCAATTTATTATTAAAGAGAAAAATCTTCTCTTTTGAAGAGTACTGGATAGATGGGTCATTCTCTGGCTTTAATTGCAGTACACCGGCCCTCCAGACCCTTGAAGTTACACCTACTCTTGCAATGGGAAATGTGAACACTTCCATCACTTTGGTTGGTGCACGCAAAGTGTACGTGTGCAGCACGTTTTCTGCAAGAACAGGCTCTGTGCTATACTGGCATTATGGCATATTTGAAATGTCACAAGAGACCAGATATATTTTGAAAAGGACTTAGTGCCAACTTTCTTCAAACAATACTTTTACCCATGCTGTTACACCTTGTAGTAAAGTGCAATGAAACAAAGATCAAGCGATCTGACATACATGCAGGTGTGTTCAGCTGCACAGGGTCTGAACCTGAAACTGGATAGAGGCAGGGAGAGAGACAGGCTAAGATTCAAAGGACTGAAAAGATGGTGCAGTGCCATCTTGGATTAAGAGATCAGCGGAGCTAGCAACCACCAGAATGTCCACTTCAAAACCACACCCTGTACAGCATTACAAAAGTTTCTTACTTTGATCATTTTGTAGGATATACACAAGAAAGCCATCTAGCAATTATTTTTGACCAGGAACCAAAAAATTAGCTTATCCTGGTGTTGAAACTAACAGGCTTAGATTCTGAAAAGGTTATGAAGCAGAACAAAGAGTTAGAAATTTTCTGTGATCAAAAGGTTTAAAGACTGTTCTGCTATTCGTATATGTATTACAAGGATTGTTCTTTTTACCTAGGAGACACAGCAGTTCGAGAGGTTTTCGAAGAGACTGGCATCAAGTCAGAGTTCAAGTCTATCCTAAGCATAAGACAGCAACACAAACATCCTGGAGCCTTTGGGAAGTCAGATATGTACATCGTCTGTCGCCTGGAGCCCTCCTCATTCAGCATCAGCTTCTGCCAGCAGGAGTGCCTGAGGTGTGAATGGATGGACCTTGAGGAGCTTGCCAGGACAAAATATACTACTCCTATCACCAGCAACATAGCTAAACTCTTACTTTATGGATACCGGGAAGGGTTTGATAAAATTGACATAACCATGAGAGAGTTTCCAGCTGTCTACACAGGCCTGTTCTACAAACTATACCACAGGGAGCTGCCCAAGTCCTATAGAAACATTAAATGATAGCAGTAAATTTCACATTTCATTATAATAATAATTTAGATTTGTTACTGTAGTAATTTAGACCATATTAAAATTATCCATGGAGTTTATTTTTAGGTAATTATTAGAAAGTAATTATTTACTCTATTCTCTAATAACCTATAGAGATATAAATTATTTTAAAAGGTAAATATTCCTGTAAGTGTGCATAAGATTTATTTTGATTTACTCTGTAAAGCAAACATAAGGTAAATAAAATAGCTCTACTTAGTTATCTAGCAGAAAACAGAACTGTTATCAATCCTGAAAATATATTTTCCAAGTAATTTTACCTCCACACACACACTGGCATGATACGTTTAAAGAGCAATATAAAGACAGTTATGAAACATTCATGTTTTAACTGGTATCTGTAAAAGTAGTTAATATCAGCAAATAATTGTTTATTTTTTGTCTGCTTTGGAGAGGAGCAGGAAACTTGACCTCTTCAGTGTAGTGTGGCACATGTGCTCGGAATCTGCCGTGGAAATCAGCTTTTAGCAGACATGGGAAGAAAAAGGATAGCTTTCTGTCCAGGTCCTGTTTTTGGTCCAGGTTTATACTGTCCAGTTCTTTTCAGTGCCACATACCAATCGGAGTATTTCCGCGATCGGTAAGTGTTATAGTTATTAGATTCCAAACGCTCAAAAAAGAAACATTCTTCTGTTGCACATTTCTAAAAGGAAAAGAGAAGAGGATTATTGATATTCCATCACAACAAATCAATTCTTCAGATTCATCAGAGTAACTTACCAAGAATGTAACTTAGCAGTACATTTAGTTTTAAGAAATTCACGTTAAGGTTTCATTTTTAAAGAAAGATAGAGTTGTTGTTAAAATACTGGTAAAACACACCTACAAGAAGAAGAGTTTTTAACTATGATCCATTTACTGTCTTTAACACAGACCAAGAAGATTGTAGTTTGCTTTTACTATGTAAATCTTTGTTCTGATCTGAAATTCAGACTCATTCAGTAATAAAGAACCCTGTCCCTTGGCACTTACTGATAGATGATGACTTCCAAGCTCAGCAATTTTGCCATCTCATTCTATGTTTAAATTTAACCAAAAGGAAAAACAAGATGTCGGAGAAAAGGGAGTTTTTCCCTTCCTCAAACCAACCTTTTTATCAACTAGATAAAGAGTATGGCATAGCATTTCAGCCTTTGCCTATTCTTTTCTAATTTTGAGATGTAACCTTCCCAAAGCCAATTCAAATCTATAGCACTCTGAAACAGTGTTCAAGCCTGTATCTGCTGAAGATTTTTTTTAAATTCAAAACTTTAAAAATAATTTTAAGACAAGATCAGACCTGGCAAACAGGTTTATTCTACATAGAAACTGAGCATATTCTGTCAGTGTTTAGAAGTACCTCAATGGAATTACTCTACTTCTGGAAGTAAGTCTTACTACTCCACCTACATTGAATTAACATGCCTTTACACCTACAGATAAAAGAAAAGGGGTCTTTACATGACAGGTAAAAATCGAGCTGTGGAGCTCCTTACCACAGGAATTCATGGTTTCCCCCAGCTTACATGGATTCAAGTCACTTTTGGAGAAGTTCATGGAAAAGAAATTCACTAGGTTTTACTAAATATGTAGAAACCATTCTTGGCTGAGAAGACCCCAAAGCTGAAATTGTTTGGAGACCATTATGGGGCATTACTCTATGTCTCCTCTTACACTCTACATTTGGTCTCCATCAGACAGAAGATAATCAACTGCATATAAACCCTCAACAGGTAAGCCTGCCATTAAGGACTACAGTGTGATTTACTTTCCTCTGCTCATCTTTGCATACAGCAGAACCACTGGTCCCTCAGGGTAACCATACCAAAGAGAAAGAATCTTAATTTTCAAATCGTCCCGTTCATAACAGTGAGATCATGTAAGGTAGGTACTACCTATCGCATGACTTTAACCCTCAAGTTTTTCTGGAGAGTTAATATTGCTTGGGAGAATTAAAACCAAGCTAATTTAACTGTCACTACTATTTATAGCTGTTCATAGCCAACAGAAAATAGGAAAGTTTATTAATTTTCCAAAATCTACCCCAAAGAAACCACATGGTTCCTCTGTATCAAAAACATAAGAGGACGTACATAGCTTCAAGCAAGTTCTCATTCTGTAGGAAGAGGCTCACTATCTGTGTTTAACTGCATTTATCCCAAGGTGTATTTGCAGCAGCAAAACCCCTGTCAATGAGCAGTACTGCTGTCATAGCAGCAAACCTACCTGCAGAAGCTACGCTTGAAACAAGAAAAATTATTTTCTCAAACACAAAGATGGCTGAAGTTCAACACTGAAGGAACTTAAAGGGGCAGGGCACTTTCTTTTCCTATTACACCATCTGTCAGTCCATCAACTTAGTCATACTCATTTACCCAGAAAAGTTTTGGAAATGCTGGAGGAGGGGTAAAGCTAGTCATTAAAAGAACACATGTGAAATCTTGGAGAGGAGACAGGGAATGCGGACACGTTCCCTAAATGAGCAGGCTGCTCTTTGTTACCATCTTCTGTTAACATTCACGGATACACAAAGTATCCAACCAGAACTCAAAAGTGAGCTTGGAACAACTACACTGCATACAGTATGCACAAAAACATACAAGAGAAGAGTTAACTCCTCACGTATGCCAAGCTCCTGTAGCTACAAGCGATTAAGTCATTCAAATGCAGTCTGGCATAGTGATCTGTCTCCAAACGTATGTCTTCAAATACAAGGTTTTTTCCTTCCACCATTTTCAGATACAAATTTTGGGTTCTAAGGAAAAGAACTTACAAAAGAAAATCCATATGCAATTTTTCATTTCTATAACATTTTTACATTTCAAAGAGCAGAAATCAAATTAACTATGTTCATATGATTTGTATTTTAAATAAATCTTTCTCAAGATAAGTTGTATTTTAATGCATTTCATTCTAACAATGTGAAACAGATGCATTAATCATTTCAAGCCACAGATCCAAGCCTGAAATTAATTACAGCAGCCTTAAGAGGGCACAGTATAAAGAAAAGAAGTGTTAAAAAAAATTAAATAAATAAACTTTAAGCAGAGTTTAGGCAAGTTCAGTAGAATCGCCCAAGCTGAAAATTTTGGCAAATAGACCATTGCAGCTGGCGTGCACCTCACCTTCGCCTCCTACTCAAACCAGTGGCACTTCTGGAAGCACCCAGCCAGGACGTGCCCCACAGTCAGACCTGGCAGAGCACAATCTCCAAATACCGCAGCACCTGGTTTCTCTACACACGCTTCCCATGCAGACCCCACAGGGTACGGCCGTGGAGTTGGGAACTTCAATCAGATGCTTAACGCCGGTGGAAAAAAAGCTGCCTGGCCCAGCTTCGACCTCCACCAGGAAAGAAATGGTGGCCACTGCAAGACTCCATGTACAGACAAAAGGCAAATTCACATGATCTCCTCTCCTGAGCACTAAATCCTCAAAGAAACCCATTGGTTTTATGTAGCCTCCCTCCTGTTTCTTAGGTTTAAAAAGTAAAATAGATTTAACTCCTCAAATAGACTTTCAGGCTAAAGAATAGTCCGTATGGTTTGCTGGGGACGCCCAAGTCCTTATTTCTCCACAAAGCATACACAATGCCAGTGCTTTCCTACAGTACGTTGCCAATGTAAATATTTTGACATAAAAGTGAACATTAAGGTGACAAATGATAGTTCAGGCTACGTGAACTATGTATTCCTTAACATTTGCCAGGGGTGACACTTGGGAAGCTGGACTGCTGTCTGGCAGGAGTGGGATGCTGGCCACCATGTTGTGGACCTCAGCCCCTGGAGCACCCCTGGATAGCGATGGGATTTTTAAACACACTTTGGTCTAGGCTGCATTCAAAGCAGTGACCTGGCAGTAAAAGCTTTCCCAGCAATCATGAAACACCTGAACTCTGTGGCCCTTCATGAGATGGATAAAGAAAGGAAAAACTCTTGGGCCTATGGCAGGGAGCGAGTGCTACCCAGCAGCCACAGGGACACAGCGTCCGCCCTGCCACTAGTCGGTATTTTACCTGCTGCCAAGACAGACCTCCAGCCAGAAGACATCTGCATGACTAAAACACAGAGTGCAGTTTTGAACATAAGCAATATTCGTTGTAGCTGTGCTTGTACTACATTCTACTGTGTGCCACCGCTTACAGTAGCCAAACTGTAATGAATGCCGAAATCCTGAAGGTGATTCAGCCACAGCACATTAATTGACTGAAAGAGGCAGAAACTTCCTGCAACAAAGTTCTTCCTCCCTTATTTGCACAGCCAAAAGCCACCCACTGATTCATTTTCAGTGCAAACTGCAACTGCCTTAAAATCACAGTATGTCACTTTAATAGTTTTGACATTTTGGACTCAGATTAGGAATTAAAATTCCTCAAATTTATTCATTCTCGAAACTGAAGCCAGAAGGTTAACTTGTAACCACCACACCAGATGGAGTATGACCTGAGAAAGGTGATGATCATATTTAGCCTTTTCTAACTGTGAAAGGGGCAGGAAATGAAAGTTATTCTCACAAATATTCTTGTACCCTAATTTTAATCCATAACGTCAAAAAAAAGAATTTCCCTTGAGTCCTTCAGACTCGCAAAACCTGCCCGGTCATAATGAAACTACGTAAGTATGACAGATGGAATGAGCAGTTCATATCCTTAAATGACAAATTATTTCTTGTGAATTAAGTCAGTCAAAAACACAATTCTTCCTTTCATGGGAGATTTTGAGGAATTTCTTAAAAAAATTAAATAATCAAAAACATCTAGTTCTATAAAGTAAAAATATTGCATTATTATAATTGAATGAAAATAGAAGGTCAAAATGAAATCTAATAGTGAAATATTTCAATTTTTCCATTAAAAACATTTCTGCACAAAAAATTTTATTTAAAACAGCATTTTTCAGGGAGAGGTTTTATCTAGCTACATTAATAATCAGCCATCTCCTCCAGTGACTGAACTGGTAAAGGTTACCTCTCCCCCACAACAACTGAGTCTGGTAGTGAACAGAGAGCATGAAACTGCTAAATTAAAAGCCGTATCAAACAGCTTTCAAGACAAGAATGTGATCTGCTGCACCACCACATAAATCACCAGTGCAAACTGTGCTGGCTATGCAATAAATAATTTTGCAAAACCCAACTCAGAACAAACCATGAAGATACGTCTCAACAAAGTAATTACAAAAACATCCAGCCAAATTAAAAACAAGCCTGAATAATAATTTGCAAAAGTATTTTTTAAGATGTTAATGTATTCATAAAACAATGTTACTACACAAGTTGATCCTTGACATTGAAAAGTAATAAAAAAGAAGAAACAAAACAGATGGTAAAAGGTGTTTACCTAGAAACAGGAAGCCTACCCAAAATTATAACTGATTGCTAGGTATTAAGAAAAAGGTTGTTTCACACAGTGATCAGAAACCTGGCTCATAAAACAAAGTGACATGCAAGTACAGGTAAGAGAGCCTGCAATAACAAAAAGTACCAAACATATCCGGGACAGGGAATGAAGTCTGTGAACTGATGTTCAAGTTAGTGTACAAGTGTGCAATACAAAAAGAGATTCTTTATCTCAGTATCCTGAAAAACCAGATCCTTAAAGATCAAAGTATCGGTAATTATGCAATAAATCCACAATGTGCCACGGCACAAGAACATCAGCTTAGGCTGATATATGGGAGACCCAGAATGTGAACAGATGAGGAAAAAAGATTGAAGGCAACCATGACCAGCAGTTTCACCACAGAAATTGTGAAGGCTTCACCATGTTTACGATTCTTCAATCCAGGAAGCAGTTTGCCTTTAAAATCTTTTCCTAATTGGAAAATATGCTACTCAAAATTACTGATGGAAAAGCATAGAATAGTACTTGAGTGACTAGTGTATTAGAGAACTAAGTAAGTATTTAGAAATTAAAGTTCTGTAACATTTTAAAATAAATAACCAAAGGTTTCTGCAGATATGAATTCACGTGCACTGTCAAGATCACTTCACCACAAAGATTTCCAGCATATGTTCTTTCAAAGCTCTCACTGAAACACAAAGCTGCTCAAACTGAAAAAGAGATGCTGGCAATCAGGAACAGTTTAATGAACTTGTTTAGAGGCAAAAAACAGTAGAGGCACAACTGGCCACAAACTGATGGAAGTTATAGTACAGAAATCCTCATGGAAAAAACATTGCCTGTGCTTCCAAAAATGATCATGAAATTGCAGAAGTATTCATTAGATGTGAAACAGGCTGGTTGAAGAACAAAATCTTAAGCGTAGAGAGTTTTAAACTATGAATAGCAAAAATGAAGAGCTGTAGAAGTAAAGTTTGCGGTAAACATTATTCAAGTAATACCCATTTCCAGAAACAAAACAAAACAAATGTTTTACAAGCTCAAACGAGAAGCACAAAGTGACCCAGCTTTACCAGATTTTGAGAGAGTAAATCTGAGTGAACGGCAGACAGTCTCCAGGCACATCACCTTACAAGAACTAAGCTGATAAAAATCGCTGCATATAGCTGCAAGAGAAGCATATTCTACACAAAGGACACAGCCAAAACCCACCACGCAACAGTAGAGTGGAAATCCCAAATATAAACTCAGCCAGGTGTTTATAATTTTACAGAGTCCTAAATCCCCTATTTTGACCATTCACTGCTGCTCAGGGTAAGGAGGGCAATTTGAACGGGAAGCTGAATGCCAGCACACCAGCACCACAGGAAATTCCCAATTATCCTTAACTCAAGAATAGCACAGCGGACTACTCCTCACATTTTCTTCAACTGAGCTGTCACACAATACCCAACTAAATAACACTGTAACTTGAAACAGGTTCTTTAACTGTATTCACGGGCATAAATAACATCAGCTTCCTGGAGCCAGAGACACACGGTGCAGAGGACCACACCACAGCTCCCTGCTCGTGTCTAAAACTGCTCAAGTTTTTTGTTTGCCTTCAGCCTAATTTCACTGAGGCAGAGGCACAACTGAGGGGAATCAGAATTTCTGCAGGAGTCCTTCATTAGCTGCAGTTCAGCTGGGGTTAGGAATTCACTTTATTATTAACACCTGTTTGTTACTGCTAGGATCTTGCACAGAAGCTGAATGGGGCTGTATTCAAGATACCAAAGCATTGGGGAAGATTTCACACTAAAATTGTAGTAATTTATTAGATCTACTAATATACAGTGGTACTTGACAAGTGTTGAAACTTTCTCTTCATTGAAGGTTATAAATATGAACAAGAGATTTACAGTCTCTATGTCTCATAAGCAAAATGAGACTGCAGCTTTTAAAGCAAAATTTGCAGTCTAGCTCTGGGAGACCTTACTAACTTTTAGAGTCTGCTGTTGGCTTTAAAACACAGTTTAAAATTAAGCTGATACCAATAAAATGCATGGTGTTTGCATGGAATTTACACTACCTACATTTAATTGACCTACATTTAATAACTTCTTCATTTTATCATCACATTTTCCAAAATATTTTTCTTGCCAGTTTTCTAGTTTGGAAGAATATATGGCCAAAAAAACTTGATTCTCTACAAAGAAGAAAATATATAGAGAGAAAACAATATATACAGATTACTGTATATAGCAGATATCTCCATCTCTTCCTAGTTCCTAGTTCAATTAACTGACAAAAGTTTTGCAGAGCTAATTTCTCTCTGATAAATCACACACAGATAAGTTGAGTAAATCCTGCTGGAGGAGAAATTACTCAATACAGAGCAAGGAGGGTACATACCAATACAGATATACACATATAGAGAGAAACATGAAAAACGCCGCTTACCAAAGCCAGCAATCTGCCATCCTCCTTCATAGCCAGAAAGCGATTTGCACTCACACCCTTGATTGACACCACTCCTCTTTCTTCTGCTTGAAGTTGCAGTTTGACTGAGAACAAAAAAAGACAAACATAAATTTTCATAGCCATCGTGGTATTTCAGCACTTGATAGTGAAGCCTGATGCTTCAAGCCTAAAGCCAGAGAAAGCCTGAGCTTCAGCTTGCAGCAAAGACATTAAGCATTCAACCTCCAGCTTTCTGATCACATTTCTCATCAAAGAGAATGCTTATCGCAAAAAGTAGCTGTAGTCAAATTGGCAACAATAAGCACAAGTTATTAATCTATGTTCACTTCACATAAAAGCAATTTAAAAAACCCTAAAATTCCTTGAAGGACCACTTACGGTACAGTCAGCTGCTCATAGAAAATGAGAATTTTTAATGGCAAAGTTTCTTAAGGAGATATTTCTTTATGTTTATAGAACAGCATCAGGCATCGAATGCATGCAGTTCTATACAGCAGATTGTCAGTGACGCAAGAGTCTGCACTGTGGTTAAGACCACTCGGGACCGCAACACTGTGGGAACTCACTCAACATTGTGGCAGTTCCCAGGAGAAGTTATCAATTACTTTACATCATACACTCAATAAGTGGTTAGAATAAACAAACAGAAAGAGCTGCAAAAGTAGATGAGGATAGCAAAGACATAAGAAATGGTGTTATACAAATCAGGAACAAGAAAAGTGGGGTTATTTGAATCAATTATTTTTAAAAATGATCAGTCATAGTTTTTTGAAAATCTGTAAGGTCATATCACATAGCTTTTTGCTACTGCCTGTGAAGTAACAACGTCTAAACTGATTTTTCTAGCCACAACTCAAATCCAGTAGTTTACATTAAAAGACAAATGTTCTCCCCTTTGCCATAGCTTATTTCAAGCTATAAATATAAGCCAAAAGTGGTCTCCACCTAAATCCAAAAGAGCTGTTTGCTTTTTGTCTTCCTTTTTCTTCCCTGATTGTTCAGATCATTGCATTAGAACAAAAAAATAATCAAGCCTCGAAGTGGTTAAAACAAGCAGAGCCAGGAAGTTGCACCTATGCCGCATTTCAGACTAAACTTAATGTGACTGTCTGTGACATTGTACCCCAAAGTTCAGTTTTTTCAAGCATTAGTTACACAGGACAGAGAATACTACAATACAATAAACTATTTGAAATACCATAGAAAAGTCCACCAGATAGTTTCTACATGACTTGTGTATTTACAGCTCAAAAGAAATCTCAACATCGTGTTGGAACTGCCGTTTTTCTGGAGAAGAAGAGGAGGAAAAGGAAGCAAAGTACCTGTTGCCCTAAACCTCACAGAAGATCCTGTTCTATGTCAATCATTTTTTAGAACATCCCCCTCTGAAAACCTAACTTTATTTAAAACATCATTTATAAAAGGGGAAAAGGCACACACAGTAACTGAAATGAGCTCGTTGGACTACTTGCCCATTGACATGTGGTCCTTCCTTCTCCCCTTGACAGCAAATATATGCCAATTCCCTACAGCTACACCCCATTGAGCCAGCTTGCACGGGCAGTATAGTTCAAACTGATTTCAGCTAAAAACAAACACAGCTATTTCAGTAACAGTAGATCTCCCAAAATCCCTAGGTTTCCCTCTACTCTGGATGGCCATAACTTCCAGTGAAACCTGCATCTGCAAACTCTCTCACTTTAAAAGAGAGCAATCAGAAGCAAGCCCAGATCTATTTTTATGTGCAACACTGTGCTTTCATACACAGCTCCACTAAACAGGGATTTTTAAGAGCAAATGTACTTCCTGACAGGAAGCAAAATCATTGTAACACAGACATCAGAAATGAGGCATGGTTGAGAAACAGCTTCTCACCTTCTTGGGCTGTACAAAGACAAAGCAGACTTTTGTCAAAGGATTGCAGCAGCTAAAGAAGGGACAAGCAGGGTGTCACAAGCTCATACAGGTTATGTGTCCGTTGGGTGACAGAATGAAGGAAATGACAAATCTGGTGTGAGACTATCAGTGTTCCCAAAACCAAACTAGACTAGAAATTATCCTTCCTTCTGCTTGCATCCCAGTAGTTATATTTGGAATCAGTTAAAAACATTTTCTATTTGAGCATGCTATACAGAGGTCTCGCCATGGTAAAACCCCAGCTAGAGGAAGCAGCAGCTAAGCTCCATTCACTCCAAAGTCCTTACATCAGTTTGCGTTTGCTGATTTCTTTCTTTGAAGGGTTCATGAGAAACAGCAATCACTACTTCACCTCCGTACCTGGTTCTGTACAGCAAGGCTGGTGTTAGAGCCTAGTGAAGAAAGTTCAATGGGCCATACTGGTATAAACCACCTCAGACACAAGCTTCATTCACCTACCTGCTTCCATAAGTGTTATCAGTTTTTCTATTTAAAGATGCAGTATTAAAAAGCTTGACCTTTTAAGAGACCAGAATAAATGCTTGAAGTGACCATAAATTTGAAGCAGGAGCATCTCTCGAGATTCAAAAGGAAGCTGCTGTTTATTTGGCTTCTCGTTGCAGGGAAGAAGAGATTTTTGCAGTGCAAATGAAAACCTTTTTGGTTTACTTCTGTAGCTCCTAAAGACAGGACTGAAGAAACTCCAATAGTACCAGTACCAGGAACATTAAATATTTAGGATAATTGCCACAACCCCTTTTTTAAGCACTAAAATTACTTCATCTAATTATTCCCTAGAGACAGACAGGTATCATCAGGACTTACTAGTAAACCCACTAATTTGTATACACAACTGAAGCCATATTAATACAAATGCTGCTCTCTAAAGAGGATAAAATGGTTTCTTAGGAATTATGTGCCTATTGGCATTTTGCACAAAGAAAATAACCAAAATAACCAAAAAAAACCCCAAAAACCCCAACTCTCATAATTCACTTATAACCCCAGACTTCCAAGAAATACAGAAATCTCCGGTCATAAAAAGTTAGGTGAAATATTTCATTTCATCCCAGAATCAACTATCCAAAACACAGCCCTCCCTGACTTATTAGGCCAAAATCAGACTTGTGAACAGCTTCAAAAACCTTCAACGCAACTCCTTGCCCTCTGGGGAAGCAAGAACATGGAGAAGTACTCTGGGCAGGGACTGGGGAAAATGGACTTTTGAGATGTGCCCAAGCATACCGCAGACTTAACAAGAAACAGCTGTGTAAAATAGCTGAAAAGTAATATTAATTACTGCAGTACAGAATTACTATGTTTCGTGACTTTCTCTTGACAAAAAAAGCACACCAACTCCTACAGTGTCATATTGGGCCAGAAGTTCAAATTCTGTAAAAATAAACTTTTAGTAAAAGTTTTTAAGGCCTCTAAAAACATTTGTATGGTTTAGAGAAGCTTGTGAAAAGTGTTACTCTTTTTAAAAGAAGAAAAAAAAAAGTATTTTCCTGCATAGCTTGAAAAACACTGCAATACTGAAAGCCCCAAAAGCAGAAGTCAATTTCACTGGATTTTCCTCTCCAATTCCAAAAAATATTCGAATAAACAGAGCCAAAATAGTACCATAAGTTTTTCAGGTTTCAGCGTTATTTTATGACTTTATTAACACAAGGTAAGTATTTTCCATTATATTGTGTTGATCTGGAGATGCCAAGATACAATACAGCATTAGTAACCAAACACATTTTGACCATGTAATCATCATTTAGAAGCAAAATTCTAGCTTTAGCTCAATGTAACTCAGTACAATCAGCTATAAGAGAAATGTAACACTTGACCCTGATGATCCATACCTTTTGTCACCAACAGCAATAGTTCAGACACAGGCCATCATTTTAGATCTATTCATACATTTCCCTTCAGCATACCTGAACCTCAAAACCAGATCCATGAGAGTAAGCTAATTAAGGAGTTTGTAATCCAAAAAAGTAGCACAGATTGTTGTGAAACAGCTAATTAACAGAGGGCCGAAAAAGCACGTTTTCCCAGTTATTCTGGCAGTCCTTTGGGAGGGTTCCCCGCCAGCACAACAGTAAGATATTTTGCTGCTCACATTCACAGCATGCCCTTTAATTCATTATGAATGCCAAGTGCAAGTCTCTGGTCAATGCCTGCTGTTTTTGTGAGAACAGAGAACTCATCATGCTGTGCAAACATCTTGAGGACTAAGGCTATGTCATCGCAGTTATGAAATTAAAAATGTCCTATCCCAATTATAACCTACAGGACAGTTATGCACTGACAACTAAAAAGGACTCGGTAAATTTACTACTACTATTACGACTTTCTCTTCATGATAAGTCAAGTATGATAATCTTCCCTTTTTCTACCAAGTAAGAAGAAATAAAGTGCAAGACGTACAAGTATTATTTCATGCCAGGACAGAAATTCTGAGAAAGAAGGATGAAGCGGTATCTTTGGGAAGGCATAAAAAGGGTTAGAAAAGATTAATGAAATAAAGACAAAGTTAAGGCACTGAACTATATAATTCAGGAAATTGATTTAAAGCCTTCTTCTGAGAAAAATTTCTAATACTGTAAAACAGGATTATAAAAGTATCCTAAATAACACTCTCCTTTGAGCCATTTGCTTGTTCCTGTATTCAGCACAGTCAAAAATCTGTTACCTGAACAAATTACTCGGTCAGCAAAATGTGATTTATGGATATAACAACATGGTCCATAATACTGCAGTGAATTTTCCCAGAAGAAAAGATACCAAGCCCCAGAAGAAGCCACCATACAGCCCTGGCAAGCTGTACAGTTAAAAGCAGAAAACCAGATGTGGTATTGTAAGATGGAAAGAGAACAAGCCACAAAGACAAAGTTCTCAAACCAAAATTAAATTAATCAGTAGGTATTTACATTCTTTGGGACAGAAGGCATTAAATATTGTTTTTAATCAGAAGCTGTCTGTTTAAAAGCTACCTGGCTCAAAAGCAAAAAGTGACAATAAAAGTTCCAATTATAGGGAAAAGAAATTCAGTATCTGAAAGTACACGATGAGCAAATCTCTCCTTGCTCACCCTGCCTGTGACATCAGGAGATCCTGTCACACTCTTCTCCTTGGAAGTACATTTTCCGATTCCTTTGTGCCCTCATAAACACAGGAGTAAAGTACCAGCAGCTGTGCCAACAGCCCCTCCTCAGTTAACTCGCCCACACAGCAGCAGCACCGCCATCCCTCAGGTAAGATCATAAAACTTAACTGTTCAGCACAGGAAACACATGCAAACGTACAAATCAGAAAATTGTAATTATGTGTCCAGTGATTTTAATTTTTTTTAGTCATTTGGCTATCATAATAATTTTTTCTCATAGCATTATTTAAGTTGGAAAGGAACTTGAAGATCATCGAGACCAACCAAGTTCACTACTAAACCACATCCGTAAGCACCACATCTACATGTCTCAGTCACTTGGTGAGTACTTACACCAGCTCCCTCAGTACGCTTGGGTGAATCTCATCTGGCTCCATAATATGTGTCTAAGTGGTGTAGCATCTCATTAATCATTTTCCCTTGGATTATGGGAGCTTCACTCTGCTTCCCTTCCCTGTCTTCTAGCTTAGGGGACTGGGTACTGGAGAACAACTAATCCTACTATTAAAGACTGAGGCAAAGAAGGCATTTGGTGGATAACAAGTTAACCACGAGCCAGCAATGTGCTCTTGTGGCCAGGAAGACCAATGGTATCCTGGGGTGCATTAAGAAGAGTGTAGTCAGCAGGTCGAGGTGACATCTGGAGCAGTGTGTCCAGTTCTGGGAACCCCAGTTCAATAAAGACAAGGAACCACTGGAGAAAGTCCAGCGGAGGGCTACAAAGATGATGAGGGGACTGGAGTATCTCTCCTATAAGGAAAGGCTGAGAGACCTGGGTCTGTTCAGCCTGGAGAAGAGAAAACTGCTTATTAATGCCTATAAATATCTAAAGGGCACGTGTTGAGAGGATGGGGCCAGACTCTTTTCAGTGGTGCTCTGCGACAGGAGAAGGGGTGAGAGACACAAACTAGAGCACAGGAAGTTCAAGCCCAACGTGAGGAAATACTACTTTGCACTGAGAGTGACAGAGCACTGGCACAGACTACCCAGAGAGGATGTGGGGATGTGTGTCTTCTCTGGAGACATTCAAAACCCGCCTGGACATGTTCCTGTGTGACCTACAGGATAATGTCTGGGTAATCCTGCTTTGGCAGGGGAGTTGGACTGCATGATCTTCAGAGGTCCCTTCCAACCCTGACCATTCTGTGATTTTGTGATTAAGTACCCCAGCCTTTTCCTCATCCTTTGTCACTATGTTTCTCCCTGCACCTAATAAAAGGACGGAGACTCTCCTTAGCTCTCCTTCAGTTGCTGAAGCGTTTATACATACCTTTGTTGCTACTGTTTTGCAAAAGGATTACCACAAGAAAAAAATCACAAGCTGTTTGTCACCCTCTTGAACTGCAAAATGCTTTCCACAGACGGACTGCATCCAAACCCTGTCTCTGGCTGCTAACTGAGGGTTAGCCATTTCCAGAGCATGAGAATTCTGCATCTTACAGCAGCCGAATCCCAGCTCTTCCACCAGGATCTGCAGCAACCTCTGCATCTCAACACAACAGTTGAAGCAGAGAACATCAATGGTTTGTCAATGGTTTTTCACAGCACCTCCCTGAAAGGTAGGTGAACCATAGCTGAGCTAAAATAAAAGAGTACTAAACCCTCTGAAAATTTTGACCATGTTCATTTTTGACAGGACATTTTTCTAGGGCCTGTGGCTAGGACAAAAAAGCATGAAAAAGGAGCCCTAACTCAGCACCCTGTTGTCTAACGTTGTTAGAGCTATCACGAAAGATGGTTACAGATATACAGCCTTCTAAAGCTCAGTATTTCAGTGTTCTCAGTATTTCCAGTATAGATTTTATTTTACAGTCATATGCCTTCTTGATTATAATATCATCTGTATCTCTATATGGCAGATTATCCAAACAACTATGTTTACCTAAGGAGATGACCATTAACTAGGAAAACGCATCATTTCAGATGTAGCTTGAGTGGAAATACTTAAGCTTTCCAGTAATATTTAAAAAAAAAAAAACAATAGAGTGGGGACATTTTTTCTTTACAATACACAGAGGCTGTGTTAAGAGTATGTACTTGCTAATGTTTCGGCTGAGGAGCAATACAAGCTACAGCCTAACCTGAATTTCCACTGAAACCAGTATAATTCATGGCATAAAAGGATGTTGAACCCCACTGCAACATGCACCAAAATGCCTGGGAGTTTTTCCCGTCTTCCACGCCACACAGTTCCTCCTGGACAAATACAGCTGTTCTGGAGAACCCACATGTACACGCAAATGATCATACAAGAAGAACTTGGGAGTTTTTGGCAGCTCCCTTTCCATTAATGCAGGAAATTAGGAGGTGCACTCTTTCCAACAGTGACACTCAGGGAGAGAGATTCTTACCAGCATCTGAAAGACAGAATGACTAAATGGTCATTTTCTTTTTTGTTGTAAGACAATTTACAGAAGATCAAACCTCTTCAAGACCACTCCCGGACGTATACATTAAATAGTATTCAACAGTTTGGGTTTGGTTGGTTGTTTTTTTTTTTTTAGATTACGTCCTGATGTTGTGACATGTTAAACCGACAAAGCACTGACTGCACTCATGTGTTCCTCCTCTGCCAGCAGAGCTCTACAGGTAGGAGATTTCTGCAAGCATTCCTGTCACTAGTGGACTGAGGATGTAAGTTTATCATTACACATACATGATTATCCCTCCTTCACAAGATATATGGTCAGGACAAGTTGCAAGTTAAACTAGCCAGCATATTTGAGAGAGAGTTACAAATGGGCATTTATTTCACAATTTGGAAACACTTTTCTAAAAATATGAAAGTTGAGAAGTGGAATTCAATAGCATTGTGGTTGACAAAGTTTCAGATTTCTGTTATGAACTGGATCTTCCCCATCTTTCCTTAAAGAGCTCAAAAAAAGTATTTCCATATATTTTGCATACTGCTCTGGAGACAAGAATTTTATGGACAAATAGCATAACAGAAACAGAAAAGATGCTAGCAAAATGCAGAGAATACAGAAAACATGTGAATGCTCCAAAAGTTATTTAATTGTCCTGAGTACTAGAACTGAAAAATTACACGTAGAATGAAAACTCTAAAGTCCTTTTACAGTTCTCCCAACTCAGCAAAGCTTTTGTAATGACCCAAACCAAATAATACTGCACTAACTTAAATGGTCCCAAATGGTTTCATTGCTCTGCATCATAAAGGGTTCGGCCAAAAAACTCCTTCAAAACTGGTTTCTTTAGAAGATCTTGGCAAAATCTAGCAAATTAATACTTCAGAAGAAGAGAGCTGCACATGTTGGAAGTTACTCACTGCTGAGCTTGTAGTACCTTTCTCACACACTTCCAGTCAGACATGTGTTGGCAGCCACAGAGGAACAGTGCTGCCAGCCTCCTGCAGCCGAAGCCCTTTGCCTGGGGCAATCAGTGTGTACGAAGCCACGTGCTATTATTTTACTCCTAGCAGCTGCATTGGCTAAGATGTTCTGGGGCAGGAGTATGCCACAGCATCCCTGAGGAAGAAGGAAAGCAAAGGTCATAGCAGTGGAAGAATGGGACAGAAATACATAAGGAAAAATAAAAGACAGACGTAAAGAACAAACAAGAAAAGGGGCAGGCAAAGTGTACAGTACATGAGGATGCTGTACTGGAGTGTGAGGCAAACTCCTGCATCTCAAGTAGATGTAATTTGAGATTATTAGCCAAGTGGATTCCTAAAATCCTCATCTTCCTACTCCTCCCAAAGTAAATAGGAAATCTAACCACTACATTAGAGAAACCCTAAAATAAAAGCCAACCATGAGCTCCTGGCTTTAGATATGCTTACAAAGCAAATAAAGGTATGATTAAAGCCTAAGCTATACTTCCACTATAATCCACCTAGTAAAGATCGCTACAGACAGACTTCAGTGCAGACTAAAACCATGAGTACCTAGCCACAGACTCAGAATCACACAAAATTCAGGTCAGGAGGACCCTATCTAGTCCAGCCTCCTGGTCAAGGGTTTCCATCACTTCACAGTGAAAAGGCTGCTGCCACATTTTCACTACTGTCACACATCATGCAAGCTAAATCAAACACCAACATTTCCTGCAGTCACAACTCTTACTGCTGTAAGGCAGAGCTCTAGTGCCCCAGGTGCACGGGCACTGGCAGAAGCTGGTTTCATGCTCCGCAGAGTCTTCCCACCACAGCAAAACACTGCTCCCGGGGCAGGACCATGCAACCTGGATATCCACTTTCAGTACCTCCACCCTCCCCTTGCAGGACCTCAAAGGCCTCCCTGAATACCCCACGTCCAAACTCCAGAATCATTACAGCACCTACGATCTGCACTCACAGCTCTTCTGTTTTGCCTCTCTCACTTAAACAGCCTTATTCAGATGGCAGCAAAGAGAAGCCCTTTTCATGAATGTAACATCCAATTAAGACTCTGCACGAATGTGATCTGACATACAACATTTTACCAAGAGGACTCTGGGCTGAAGAACATTGATCAGCCAATGTTCCAAGAGATTATCTGGAGTTTGTGAACATCTCAACAGCAAACCCATACCCTACCCACACACAGCAACAAACAGAGTAGCTTGTGGACCCTGGAGAAGCAGAACGCGATACTATTTCAACCCTCATTTTAACTAACTTACAGCCACTTTATTTGAACCAAAAAGGTCATTAGCAGAACACCTCTCACTCAGTTTACAGGAGAGAGTTTATGTGCCCCCTGAAAAATCCCAGGCTGCACGTCTCTGGATCAATGACTAGTGTTAATACAGTCTCTGCTGTGGAAAAGCTAAAGCCAAGCCAAAGGCTCAGGGCTCATCTCCAAGATATTTGCAGAGGCCCTGTAAGGAAAATCCTTCCATGAGGCCCCTGAATGACACTGCGGTGAGGCTATTGCACCAGCTCCCCCATCAGTGGTCCTCCTGCACCTCCGTGCCCACAGAAAAGAACAAAGCAGCAACTATTTTGCAGTCTCAGTGCTACAGAGGTGGATAACCTCTGGAAGGAGTAAGTTTCGGAAATGCAAGGAAGTTCACAATAAAGGGGGGGAAATAACAATCCACAGCGCTTTGCTAAATGCAACACCCTACGACCGAATTCCCACTCCAGCATACTCTGTGGCCGAAGCTCGCTGATTCCTTCATGCTTGGGGGCAATGTCTATTCCCAGCCAGGTGTCCAAGCAAGACACACAAGAGTCGGGTGTGCTTGCTCCACACCTAACATAATAAATCCTCCCAAACCCAAGGGCTGGTTCATCAAAGACACACATGCATGCACGCATACGCGCAGATCACATCCCTCATTTTGGCATTTCCAGAGGCAAAGCTGCCCTGTGAGTCAGATCCAAACCCCAGGCCAGGGAGCTGGTGATGCCTACTGTAACTTACCTCTAGGAATTAGAAAGATCTTTGGCTCTTTCTCCTCATCTAGTCTCAGACACTTCCTGATGTTTCTTTCCTGCTGGCATATTAAGCATATTAACGTCTTCTACAAACTGATAAGCTTTGCGCTGACATACGCAGCATCCCCCTTCTTGAGACTGCAAACATGAAAACAACTCCACTCACTTTCACACACTCATCGTAAAACAACTGTGCCACCAGCACAGTACACACAGCCTAAAACCTGGAACATATGTGTGGGGGAGAAAAGAGGAATATATAGGAAAAACAGCAAGTGAGCCTCAGCAGAAGAGGTGGTCTTTTCATAAACAAAACCCACAGAACAGAAACAAAAACAATCAAGCAAATGAAGTGTCACACTGAGAAATAGTGAGTCACGCTCCCGTACAAAGGCACATTTCTTTGCTTTTGCATGACAACATTTTAAGTGTATCTTTTTCCTTTTTGCCAGCCAGAGGCATAAAACCACTTGCAGACAGACCTAAGGTCTTTAAAATGTAAACATCTACAACAAAAATACACACTTCTGAAATATGAACACTTCAAAAAGTTCCGGTTACACTTAAAGAGCAAATCCAAGGTTTAAACAGGATAATAACTTGTGTAACTGTTTAAATACCAACCTGCTAACCTAATCTACCGTTTAACATGGATGCTCACAGATTCTAGATGTTTTAATCTTTTTAAGTAGTACAAATACTGAACACAATGCAAATTATTTCCCTATTCAGGCTCTCCATCTATTCTCATTTATATTTAACCCAATTCCTATAGATATCCAACTCCACCTAACATAAACCTACTGCACTAGGAATCCTCCCCAGGAAACACCAATGACCAAATGCATAGCATTCTCAAATGCTCCATATAAATTTCACATAAAGGATAGCAAAGTCATCCTGCAGAACAATTTCGGAATAACGTGATTCACAACATTTCTGGGAACAGTCAGGATAATAATTTCAAATGCCAGACACTACAAGTACACCACAGTATAAAATTATTCTCAATACCTACTTGCCACACTGTTTGCAGTTTGCTTGTCACTGCAGATGAGCTGACTGCATCATTGGAAGTCAAAAGAACAAAACCAAGCAGAAAACATTACCAGCTTTACCAGAGAAGAACTTCATTCATTACTGCATACAGGCAATACAGCCTAGTCTCCCATGTATCGATACCTTTACCACAAGTTCTTGATTTAGAACTGTTTCCGTTTCAAAACAATTAATGCATGTTCACACATGGTTTTTAGGACTTTTCCCAGAGGGAAAGATGAACTTGTTCACATCATGTTTCTTTAAACTGCTTTCACTTCATTTAGTATTCACAAAAGTAAATAATAGAATATCCCCTTTCAGCTGTTCACCTTTAAAACACAGCTGATGCAACGGTTTAGCCAACACAACGTCACTGACATCGGAAGACACATACAGAACTTGCGGAATTTCAGCTGTTTATGTTTACTGTGCATTCATTAATCTCTCTGTAACTATGATCCAGGTTTCACTTGCAGCAAAATAAACATAAATAAAACCAGGGACAACCTGAGATGAGCCCAAGAATGTCACTTCAGAAGACAGTGAAGGTAAAATACATAATTTTTTAAAGGTAGTTTAGTGCTCTTTCACATAGAACTCACACAGCAAGTATTCAGTACACCGTATTTTAGAGCTACAACTGATGTCAGAGCAGTGGTTAGAGATTCAATGAGATGAAAGCAAAAGGCTGCCAGAGCAGTGGTGAGAAATTGCCAACCCACAGACATAATAAGCTTTAGTGTCACAGATGGAAAGGAAAAGCTGGATTTTAGAAATGCCAAGAAGAATCAACAAATTAGATTTCAAGAGAATCTGAAGCACAGTGATGAAGAGGACCTGTGTCAGGCCCCAGGGAGATGGCATAGCAGACAGGAGTAAGAAGAAATAACAACCTGATAAGGAGGAGGAGTTCCTGTGAATTAAGTTGCCCTTTAGAGTTGATTGCTTTTAATCTGGGCAAAAGGTTAAGAGACTATGTCGGGTTTGCATTTCCCCCACCTCCAACATCAATGAAAAGATGATTTAGGAGAATTAATCACTTTAATAAACTTTAATAAATTTGCAAAAAGTCAACTAAAAAAACCCTACAATCAAAAAATCCACACACATGCTCGCACAGCACTTCCCTGCTGCCTGTTCACCTAATTTACTTCAAGGACAA